CATTAAAATATTACATGTAAAATCTAGCTGAAGTCAAAGCAAAGCAAGTTTGGGGCTTTTCAGTCTGGCACAGCTCCAACTATTATAACAAAGACAGAAGTGACTGTTGAAATAAGCTTTAGTGAGTGGTTATGGATGAGCGCTCCAATTCTCATTTTCCCATCCCCTACAACCTAGACATAACCTTTCAGTGAAAGAGTATGTTTCTCAGTTGTTGCCTTCAGACTGAAGCCTGGTTGAGACAGAGCAGGAATGCAAAACCAAACCAAACCCATTTACATGAGCTGCAGGGAAAGAGACTGCAGGCAGAGCACTAAAAAGCATGTTTGCATACCTTAAATGAGCCACATTAAAGGTGGACAAACGTGCCATAAATCTGAAATGATGTTTAGATGATGGAGCTCTTGGCAACCTGATCATTTTAGCAAGCTGACAGCCAGTTAGCCCAGAGTGTCTCAGCCTAAATACACATACCAGACAGCACAATACAGGAGTGGACCAATACATTCCCGTAACATTAACACATTAACCATGCTTCTTGCTCCACACTGCTGTCCCTTCTAATATCTTTCTGCTCCATGACCACCCACTTCTGCCTTCCCAAACACTCATCTACACCCTGCAGAGCTTCTCTGCAACTTCCCATCCCATTCCCTCAGCTGGAAAAGCAAATACTGGCCTTGCTATGGATCTTGACTGTAAGTTATCACCAATCAACTTTTTTTTCCCAGATCCTGCAGAACATAAGAGTTAAGGGAACGGGAATAAGACTGATGCCTTATTGATCAAATCAATTCTAATTACGCACAGAAAAGTTTTCCAAAGTTTCCAGTAATACACTGAGCAAGAGCTACTTCATGAAATGCAAAGTCAGGTAAGTGGAAAGTTTGGGAGTTTATTGCTCAGCAACAAAGGCCAGGATTTTATATATTCAGTCACCAGAGGAAGCAGAATGTTATAATTGCAAGCAAACTCTAACACTTGAAATAATAAATACAACTAGAAAAATGTATTATTTATTGAAATTCAAATTTTTCTAGGAGAGGCTCATAAAAAGCTGAGGACAGAGTAACACAATATTACAGCTAAACCACAGCAGCACTAAAATAATTGGGCAACAAAGAGCTATTTGTTCATTTTTTCCTTGCAAATCTCACTCTTCCACACACACCCCCATCTTGACTGTCTGAGGCATCAGGCAATAATGTCACCAATTTCTTAGGGTATGTTTTTTTCATACTGTGGTACAAATACTAAACAATGTTAGGCCCATCTGCACAAGGAAAACCAGGTCTTGGAATGGTGAACTTTTCCCAATCCCAGCCCAATCCCTTCTGTGGTTTCTCAATTGCTGGAAGTGTTTCATCTCCCTGTGAAACCAAATCAGGTATGGTCAAGGATGGGCATACCTTACTCTTTAATGCTGAACCTCACTATGCTGATCCGGTGCTCCAGCATTCACAGCCACGCTCTAAGAGAACACGTACACTTGTGATGGTGCTACGTTATTCAAGAGAGCATCACCTACTGAAGACAATGTACAAAGCTTGAGGGAGTGACCATACACTGAGAATCTCTTCCCATCTATCCAAAACATACTTTCTGAGATTTCAGTCAAGAACTGAGCACAGGTAAATACTTCAAAACAACATCATATTGTGTCAAAACACATAGCTAAGATTACCACAGCCTACTGAATTTGGCACACATCCAGCAGGAAACAGGTCTATACACATGGAAACGTGCCCTATGCCATTACTCCACTGACAGTTCAAAGAGAGCACTGAATTTTGACTGGGGTCAGGCTTGCAGGAGGTCAAGTGGCCTGGAAGCAACGACACTCACGGACATGTGGCTGTGGGGATTGGCTTTTGGGACAAGTCTCCTGTCCAGGCAAAGAGATATGAGAGCAGAAACAGTGGAGAAATATAATACCAAAGTAGGGCTATTTTCCAGCTTCTGTATCTAAAGTTCACACAGAAAATTCTGCTGGGAGGACAGGAAGGAAGAGAAGATAAGCTGACATTAAAACTGTTAACACTGGAGCGAGGCACACAGAAGTCCTTTTCGTTGCAAAAGAGCAGTCAAAATGCCATCTATGCCTACATCTAAGCAAAAAACCTATTTCTGCCTTGAGGCAGCCTTGGCAATAACACTATTGCAAGCAAAAAACTGGTTTATTGGTTTCGGGAGGATTGAAATGAATTCTAATTTATTGTCAATTAATACACTTCTAATTACTGTGCCTGGCATTGGAATGCACAGGGGTGAGCCAGGCCTTGCTCTCCAACCCCACTGCCATACCTGGCATCCCATTGCTGCCTATTATCTGCCCATAGTAAGCAAATAGCTTATACAGACAAGTCGTTCTTAAAACAAACCAAAAGCACATCAATGAAATATGATCTAAAATAAACCAGCTCTGTTTGAGGATATCACTATTTCCCCTGGCGCTTCAGGGTTCTGCAGCTGCAGAAATTCCTCTAAACAAATCAAAAGAGCTTAAAGCTTATGCTCCCACGAAAAAGGTTTCCAGGCAAATATTATATACATACATACACATATATACACACAGACACACACACTCACTCCATCACAGTAACCAGCCCGGAACACTTGCCTGGGAAAGCCCCTATCCACACTAACATTTTGCTGATATAAGCTGCATCAGCCAAGATCAGTGTTTTCTCTTGCTTTCAAACCACACCAGCAGAAACCTCACTGCAGAAGCCCTTTGAGTGGCTGCTAAAGCTTTGTGCCTGCATAAAACATTTCTTTCTTAGGACCCAGTTTAAGCAGCACCAGCAGAAAAATTCCTGCTGTAGTTGTAGCGGCACCCCAGGAGGAAGTGGTGAGACTGGGTAACTGGGCATACAGGAGGGGTGAAGGCAAAGCAGAGCATTGCATCAGCCCAGCTTACGTCTACAGCAAAAAGGAGGAAGCAGTAACTGCCATCACACCAGATTTGTGCCAGCAGAAACTAGACTGCAAAGTCACAATCCTATTACAAGAAGTAACAGCAGTAGAATTCAGTGGTAGGACTGACCAGCTTTAGTTGGACACATGTGGCATAGCGTCTTTCTGTTTGAGTTTTTACACATTGTTTTGTGTGTGATGTATAATCTTAAGAAACAGACTGCCTGAAAACATTATGTGCTAGCAGTGCCATTTATATCAATTAGATACTAATCCTATTCCCCCCACAAGAGATGACTGTCAGCCAGGTTAACTGTTTCACTACTGATAAGATAGGTTTTAGCAAGGAAATGGTGAAACTTTTCTCTCAACTACAAAACATCTGTAAAAGCCTCTCTGAGTAAAACCACTCATGTATTTCCCCATCTAGAAGTAAACAACCCGTCCACTCTTCTTGATGAGTCTGCATTATAAGGATACTCATCCTGACTACATGAAAAGTACACAAGAATAGCAAAATGTGGGTTAGAAAATAACAAAGAAAGATTAAGAAAGAGTCATTACAGTTACAAAGACCGCCCAGTCTGTGCTTCTACTCAAATATGAATCTTCTCTGTCCCACCCAACAAAGCAAAACAGATCTGGCTGCAGGTTATCTAGCCTGCCACATCACATCAATGCAGAAACCAGTAAGGTCTGGCTGCAGAATTTAGGTCAGCTTGTCTGCAGAGTCCATAAGGTCTTGCACACAGCCATGAATTTCCTAGTAATGCTTCAATAATCCCTCTTCATCCTACTGTGCTGTATTTTACTAGTAGCTGCTAGCTTTCCTTTAATTCCCCAGCAAACACTCTCCACAGGAGGGATGTTTGCAGGTGAAAGAGCCACTATCTCTTCCCTGGGAAGCAGGAAGCTAGTTGTTCAATCAAATAAATGCCGATTCTTATTTCGAAAGACAAAGAAGTGAAGGGTTCTCAAACCAAGCTAGAAAAAGACTTCCCTTTTATAACCACACAAGAAAAGATCAAATCAGAGCTGGAAATTACCCTAGAATGTAAGGAATATTTTTCTGAACATATCATGTGCACAAACCCCCACTGTTTCCACCTAGGTCAGTAAATAACAAAAATGTGACTAATAAATTCAGACACATGCTGGTACTTCTGGAGAGAAGGCATCACTTGAGGTGAAAGATACTGCGCCTCTTCAAGGAATGCTTCCCTCTAGAAATGAATTGTGGGCCACTACCAACCCAAGTGTTATATAAGCACTCAGCGTAAGCAGTAGCCTTGTTTTCATTAATGTATCAAGGTGCATAAAAGTCTTCTCAAGACATGGTCCTTGGAGCAGGAGTTCCACATAAACTGGAAAGTATAGTTACGTAAGGAAAAAACCCCAATAACTTGAGTACAATAAAGCAAAACCTTGAACTTGTCTGAGTGTCTTCATACAACCAGATGAACTAAGTCTCCTTAAGTATGACAACCTGGAAGATGTGAGTGCAAGAATAAATACCTGTATCTGGGACAGCTTATGGAAATCTCAGCAAATAAAAACACAGCTACCAAGCTGAAAGCTGGTTTTGTCTTAAAACCCATTATTCTGTTACTTCGCTGTGCTCTTACGGTTGCCACATAACAATGTGCTCCTCAAAAGCTGGCACTTACATCTCCCTGCTAGAAGAACAATAAAGCTGACGAAGAACTCTTTCCTCAAGACATCAAATTGCTCTTTGACATTGAAACATTTGTTAAGAGTACTCCTAGTCCATTTTTTCTAACTCACATGGAGCCTGGATACAGGTATTAGCAAACACAGACTGAGCTGTACTGCACATTACATGTGTAAATCAAATACCCTAGAAAACACAGAACTATATTTATGTTTACCTCAGATATGTCATGTAATTCAATCATACAGTATGCACCCACACCAGGCTACAGATGATGCAGTTGTCATTACTGGCCCACCAACCTATCACACATATTAGCAAGACTTAGCAAGGAACAGAACCCTATTTTTATAACTAATTCACAGCTTCCCATCAACTCTGCCTCAGACAATCCCCACTCCTGGCTCAGTACCTGATCAGGCTGTGCTTCTCCTCCTTCCTTCTCCGGCTTCAGCTGGGCTGAGCACTGGCTCCAGGTGGCTCTGGAACACCAAGCCAGGCGCTGATGGTCACTTTCTCATTTTGACAAGCACCATGCACTCTTCCTGTATAAAAACAAACTGCTGTGAGTCAAAGCAGCCAAATAAAATGTTGACGCTAGTGGGGCGTGAGAGAAATGCCACTCTGAGACACAGAAGCAGAATGTCAGTCCTCTTTTCGCCACTGATCTCTGAGGAGTGCTGAGCACACCCTGATTTTAGTAGTTTCAGAAAGACTCTAAATGAGCTGCTCTGTTCTTGAAGAGCAGATTCCTCAAACTACCAATTTGCCATTTCCTACATATTTTCTTAAATATACTGGCTCATCCAAACTTAACCAAGGGTGCTGCTATTTCTATGCTACTGCTCCCCTGCTATCACCATGAAAGCTAGATCAGATCCCAGTGACGTGGTAGCTGCACGTTGTGCGTGCTCCACATAACCACTTTGACGACATTTGAATTGCTGCATTACAGCAGTATGCCAGGCAAGCAGCCCACTTTGACTCACTGAGCTGCCTGGAAAACCTCTGGAACATACCTCTACCCCCAGGATGGACAAAATGGGGAAGAACTGGGATTCCTTCCCCTCCTCCTTTAGCCCACCACTTCTACCAGCCAAGACCACAGCGTGGCTGCCTTCACCTCCAGTGACTCAGAGGCTCCAGGGCAGAGCAGAGCTCACAGATGCAAAGCAACCACTCAGCAAAAGGAACAGCCAGACTCCAGCAGGTAATTCACCAGTATTTATTTTAGTTTGCTGCTTATTAAGTATGCCTCCTTACAGATCAAGTATTCCACAGTAATTGCCTCCAATCAACAAACACCCAGAAAGCCTCTATGTAGATCAGTGCTGCTTCATAGCTGAAACGAGTCCCCTAGCAACAGGCATGATTCCACAGGACTCTTGTGTGCACAGCAGGCTGGCCAGCACTGCCTCTCTGCCCTTCCTGTGCTTCTCCTGCCCTGGCTATGCCCCAAGCCATTCCTAGCACCACCAACCACTACCCTCTGCTGACACACTGCTGAGCATGGAGATGCTCCACAGTCAAGGCTCAAAGCAGGGACAACGGGCTGCATCCCTTGCTTTAGCACCAGCACATTGCCTCCACGCCAGCAGTGAGCTACTCTGCCATAATGGTCTGTGCTCAGTGCCAAGCATCCACCTGAGCTGCTCCCAAAGCACCTCACAATAAAAGGCAAATGGACCCCCCCACCCAGCACATATAGACAATTCCCTCCTAATTTATTTCCCAAGGCTTTTTTAGGGCTGGCGCCCCCCGGCATTCAGAAGCCTACAGAAGCAAGCCCTGTGTCATGCTTTCCACTGAGAACACTTTAAAGGTCAGCAGGAACCTGCTGTGCCAGGTTTCTTATCCTGGGTGTCTACTGCTAAAAGGAAGATAGGGAAGACACTGACAAATACACAGATAAAACATGCATCTTAAGGAATTTCCACCTTTAAACGGGTTGGGGTGGTCAAGTGTTCAAGAGAACTAAACCCCTTTTTTTGCAGCATGTATCACCAGAACTGTAGTTTTCAGTCTGTTGTCTTTTAAATACACAAGGAGGTGGGAAAAAAAACGTTCTGCCTAGATATTTTACATAGGTCTACTGCACGCAGGTTTCTAACAGACCTTTGGATGTTCCAGACCCTGACAGAAAACACTCTCAACAGCCACAGAGCCATTCACCTTGGGTGTTTCTGTAATCATTATCCATGAGGTCAGAGACCCAGGTAAGAAGGGCTTAAGCAGAGGTTACCATGCCCTCCAACTCTGCCTTGGCAGCCACCCCAAAGGCAACAAGCAGCTTTTAAAAGCAGAAGGCAAAGGCAGCTTCCACCTCCAGAGGAGGAGGACTGTGCTTTTGAAAATGCCTCAGCATTTAAGGAAATGTGTCTGGAGATGCCAAACAGCACCACCACCACGCCTGGTAAGGCATGAAAGAACAGGAGAACCTATTTCCAAGAGTTGTATCACAGTCTGAAGGACTGATGCTGTTCATCATCACCACCCATCCCCTTTCCAGAACAGACTGAGCACATGAGTTGGCCAATACCTGGAAGAGAGATGGAGGGAAACAAAACAAACTCGCAAGATACTGGTTCAAACCAACCCACAAACAAATAAACAAAAACCCTACCTAAAGCAGAGATTCTCATATAAAACATAATAGTGCGTAAGTGTATGCTTGGGCAGAGCCAAGACCAGTGAAGGAGTCTTCCCCACAGCACTTGCCACTGAAATGCTCCTGGATTATGTTCCCAATCCCATTTGGATTCTCTTTATGCTTCATCCTTCAGCTCTCCCTTCCATTTCTGAAGTGACAACCTCAATTTGTTAAAACAAAACAACATCTCCAGAAACATCTGCTCTGACACAAGAATACACACCCACTGTTACAGAGCCAGTATGGGGCACAGTGGGAACAAAGGAGATTAAATAAGGAGCACATGTACCTCTTCTCTTATAACCTTGTCCCTCCTGGCACTCATTCCCTTTCATCCTCTATTTTTGAGGCCCCTTCAGCATAGGAAGGATTTATAGCCCATTTACACTGGGGTGTTGGCATCACCCAGAACCAATTTTATGCGAACCACAGCCAGGCACTTAGCACATAACACGTGCAACCTCCAAATGCCACGTCCTGTGTGCTGTAGCCTACATGTGGTCACCCTCATTTGTACAGTCACTTGACCAAACATCTTTTCCGTTAAGGAAAACGCTGTTTCTGTTGTGCTTAACTGAGGCTGCATTTAACATGGAAACAATCATTGGTCACAGACTGAAAAAAATCAGATGATGCACTAACAGAGCAAATTGTTATAAAGAACGGAGGAGGGAAATCACAGTATTTTGGGGAAGAAGTGGCGATCTTGGAAAAAAACTTCACGTAATAAAATAAGTAAGGCAGTTCCAGTCATTAGAGGTTTAACACAACTCAGTTCTACATGTATCTCCAAGTACCCAGCCAACAGGAGACTTTTGACAATCACTTCGGTTAAATGCCATCTTTCTCCCTTTTTGCTGCATAACAACAAACCACTACATGGGAAAAATGTCATGCCATCAAGAGAGAAGGAAAACCCCAAACCAGCCCAGAAACCCACTGCAGAAGCAGCAATGTAACATAACCATATATACACCAGATTTTGCTGCTATCTGAGTGGGGTTTCACAATCAGCTTAAGCTGATTTGTGGCCATCCTGCTGCTTAACACTCCCACTCTGTCCCCTGGTGTGTGCCGGGGAGAAGCCTCCTGCCAGACAAAAGCACAGGCGGGTGGGCAGGGAGGCAGGACTTCCCCTTTCATCAGTAGGGTGAGCTCAAATCTGCTCCAGCTGGTCTTAAAACCACAGTCCCTTTGGAAAGCACCTTAGGCATTGCTCCTACTCCATGGGAGCCCACAGGATCCCACTGGTGCTCCCTGCAGAGCTCATTGTCCATGCTAAAGCCTCACTGCAGCTTTTCACATGCCACCCAACAAGCCCTTTATTTCAGCAGCTCACTGTAATTCTTTCCTTCCCTTTGTGGCCACCTCCTCTTCTCCTCTCCTCTCCATGAGCTATGTGCAAGCTTCTCTTCACTTCCTCTCTTCTGTTGCAGACAGCAAGAATCTAATCAAGACATTAACAACTCGAACCTTGCTGGGCAAGCAGGCACAATTTCCCAGGGCTATAGGTAACCTGTTGTTTGATCCACAAGCAGTAAGAGGGGGGACAACTGCTGGTAGCATTGGTATTGCATTCTTTAGCAGACAGCAAGTCAAAAATGTAAAATCTTACAAGTTCAGACAGCAAGCAGGTAAATAATCAGACATTAACATGGAGGAGGTGACAGAAGTCAGCAGTTATCAGAGCACTGAAGGCCACCACCCTCTCTTTATTCACAAGAGACAGCAGAGGAGCAGTTCTGCTCCACGCACTGCCTGGCTGAATACTGGTTGTGACCAGGCTGCTGTGCACGTGGACAGACCACGGTTTTACAACACGAATTAGCCAGGTACAAAACCATTTGGCTAAAACCACACTTGTACCAGTTCCACCTGTAAAGTTTATAGGTGCCTGTAATGCATACTTAAGTTCACAGGGGTCTATATTTGCAACATGCATTCAAGCTGACTGCAGACCTGGCCATTCATCTATAACCATTATAGTCCTGCTTCTGGAGATGTCAAACAAAGAGAATTCATACCCTTTCCACATGTAGAACAGTACATACAACTTCATGCTTTCAGATTTTCTTTTATATTTACTCACACTTATCTCCATCTTGTTACCTCCTTTCCTCTGCCACACTGTTATTCTCTTCTTTTGCACTGTTTCATGCCTCTCATGGTTTTATTTTCTGGCTTTTCTACATGTTCTACTATTTTTGTTCTCATGCAGCTCTGGCCTCAGCAGCTCCTTTCTTTAAAGTCTGCTCTGGCTACTCTGATTGACATTAACAAGGACAGTCTTAAATTCACCTTTCAATCTAGGTACATCTTAAATCAAATTACACGATACATAAACAAAAGTGTAACCACAAATTTTAACCACTAGAAATAGTCTTGTCCAAACCACTGCATTATTCATTTTCCTGATTTATTATTAGTACAATTCTGTCTCATTTTCAGTCCACTCTTCTCTCATTATTCTTCTGTTAGACTCTTTCCTACCCACTTTCCATGGGGGCACTAGCAGTGAGCCAACTCAATTTCTGCAGCACACACGAGTATTTGTGTATTTGCATTCCTCCACTTCCTTGTTTCAAGAGCCAACAGATTTGTTGTCAGAGCGATACGGACTGAAGCAAAATCACCAAGCCAGTCTTCCCTTTCTGCCTGGTAATAATGCCAATGAGGTAAAAACAGCAAAGAAATTAGTATGGGTTATGAAACAGCAAACATGAAACTTTAAAAGAATCAAGTGCATGAAAAGTTTCATTTCCCTTTTGTCAGTTCCTCTTCTAAGCTAGGTAGTTTAGGCTTTATTTCTTAATTTAATTAGACAGAAAGCAAGTCCATGAAAGTTTCTGGATGGCAGCCATTGAGAGGCACCCTGTATGGAGACTTCTCAGTTTG